GGCGTAGTGTGTTACTGATGGTAGCCTTTGTTACGTTGGTCCCAGCTCTCTGCAGGTCATTCACTAGGTCCCCCCGTGTGGTCCTGGGATTTTTGCTCACCGTTCTTGTGATCATTTTGACCCCATGGGGTGAGATCTTGCGTGGAGCCCCAGATCGAGGGAGATTATCAGTGGTCTTGTATGTCTTCCATTTTCTAATTATTGCTCCCACAGTTGATTTGTTCACACCAAGCTGCTTGCATATTGCAGATTCAGTCTTCCCAGCCTGGTGCAGGTCTTTTATTTTATTTCTGGTGTCCTTCGACAGCTCTTTGGTCTTCACCATTGTGGAGTTTGGAGTGTGACTGTTTGAGGTTGTGGACAGGTGTCTTTTATACTGATAACAAGTTCAAACAGGTGCCATTGATACAGGTAATGAGTGCAGGACAGAGGAGCCTCTTAAAGAAGAAGGTACAGGTCTGTGAGAGCCAGAAATCTTGCTTGTTTGTAGGTGACCAAATACTTATTTTCCACCATAATTTTCAAATAAATTCTTTCCAAATCAGCCAATGTGATTGTCTGGATTTTTTTTCTCATTTTGTCTCTCATAGTTGAGGTCTACCTATGATGCCAATTACAGGCCTCTCTCATCTTTTTAAGTGGGAGAACTTGTACAATTGGTGGCTGACTAAATACTTTTTTGCCCCACTGTATAAGGTTTGCTCACAATGTGCCCTGGCTGTATCCTCTCTAGTGACCTGTGGACGTCCCCCTGAGGTAGACAATGCATCTACTTATGGCCGACCCAAAACCCGATACCAGATTAACTCCGTGATAGGATATCGCTGCGACGATGGTTTCCTTCAGCGCAATTCTCCGGTCATCAGGTGCAAGTCAGATGGATTTTGGGAAGAACCCCAGATAAACTGTCTACCGTGTAAGTAGAACATACCCATCTCAAAGGGAATTATTCTCTCTTCATGTAACTACTATATCTTTCAATCTGCCCTTCTAGAACAGTTCTTTGGTCACTCGAACATATATATTCTTACATTTCTTATTCAATATGGCACAGTTCCTTGCAAGTGTCCTCCATGTTCAAATATTGCTCCATTGGGGTTACTCCATGATGCCCCACCTTTTAATTATCCCACAGGAGCTGTTGAGTATTTACAAAATGCGTTCTGACTTGATATACAATGGGATTAAAGTTTTTTTTATTGTTGTTCTTTACTGCCTATTTTTTTCTTCTACAGCTCTCCAATGATGTGACCTTTTTTGAGGACGCCTCTCTGTTAGAAATTGTTACCCTGGTAGCCAAAGGGACATGATGTTACCCCAGGCCCTGTTGCTGCAGGAAAGGCAGGCCTTGTTCAATCGGGAATGTTTTTTGTGCGTTTGACTAAGACCACTCTCATCCACACCACGAGTACCTTCAACCCTTTCACTGAAAGGCCATGGCAAGTCCATCGATGAAGAAGACTTGATACATTGTGCCTATTGATACGAACACTTATTTAAACTGGTTTGTAGGTAATGAGGATGGAATATTATTGTGAACATTTCCACAGACAGTAAAGCTGGGCCTCTAATGACTGATACAATCCATTGAACCCCACTGCAGTTTCACATTGCCACCCAAGTTTGACCAAATCCTTTCTTATGCATAGTGTGACTTCAAATGAGCCGAGAACTATATGGTGGCCAAGCATCCTTGATTGATTTTCATACACAAAAAGGACCAGGAACCACTAGTTTATTGGTTGGCAGTCATAGGTTTTAGTAAAAGAGTAACCACACAGACCTCATCAAAATTATGATTATCAGTGGTAGATAGACTATTTAGACCCATTACAAATTGGTGGTCAGGAGTGGGCAGCCTACAGTGCACCTCTCTAGGGGTCCTATTTAAACCTTTTAAAAATGATAGTCACTGTAACTGAATACTTGTACGTTGTAGCTGGACAGTCTGAATTAGGTGCAGGAAGAGCTGTTCATAGATCCAATCCATCCGTAGATTGATGTTGTTCTGAGATTAGGCCGTGTACCAAAAAACTTTGTAGATACCCAACCTCCATACTTATATGAGCTTGTAGGACATCCCATCCCAGATGATCTTCATACTTATATGAGCTTGTAGGACATCCCATTCTAGATGACCTTCATACTTATAAGAGCTTGTAGGACATCCCATCCTATATGACCTTCATACTTATATGAGCTTGTAGGACATCCCATTCTAGATGACCTTCATACTTATATGAGCTTGTAGTACATACCATCCCAGATGACCTTCAAAAGTATATGAGCTTGTAGGACATCCCATTCTAGATGACCTTCATACTTATATGAGCTTGTAGTACATACCATCCCAGATGATCTTCATACTTATATGAGCTTGTAGTACATACCATCCCAGATGATCTTCATACTTATATGAGCTTGTAGGACATCCCATTCTAGATGACCTTCATACTTATTTGAGCTTGTAGGACATCCCATTCTAGATGACCTTCATACTTATATGAGCTTGTAGTACATACCATCCCAGATGACCTTCATAAGTATATGAGCTTGTAGGACATCCCATTCTAGATGACCTTCATACTTATATGAGCTTGTAGGACATCCCATCCCAGATGACCTTCATACTTATAAAAGCTTGTAGGACATCTCATCCTATATGACCTTCATACTTATATGAGCTTGTAGTACATGCCATCCTAGATGACCTTCATACTTATATGAGCCTGTAGGACATCCCATTCTAGATGACCTTCATATTATATGTGCTTGTAAGGCATCTCATCCCAGATGACGTTCATAAGTATATGAGCTTGTAGGACATCCCATTCCAGATGACCCTTCATACTTACATGCACTTGCAAGACATCCCATCCTAGATGGCCTTCATATTTATGAGCTCGTAGTACATTCCATCCTAGATGACCTTCATACTTATATGAGCTTGTTAGACATCCTGTCCTTTAACTATAGATATAATATGGAAATGACAAGGATCACTTAGGCTTTGTGATGTCTTGGCCTATAGTGAACCGGTTTTCCTGAACATTGGTCCACATCCAAAATGGCTGCTTTTAGAATATATAGGTCAACAATCCTGCTGTTCATAATGTATTTAGACTGCCCTCCTTTGTAGGTTATTCCCAATATGGCTACCTGGGTCTTACCACCATAAGGTTTCTGCAACCCACTGGATCATTTTGGTTCTTTCAGATCTCTGGTTCCAAGTTGGCTGCTTACACTGTACCTCTGTGGGGGCCATTCATGAAATTGCATGCTGTGGTCGCTTGCTTGTTCGATTTAGGATATATGTATATGGTAATATAGTATAGAGGAACCAGCACTCAACCCAAGACAATGTTTTGATCCTCCACATGGATATAGTAATCTACAAGGATATAATAGGTACTCGTAGGTCTTCCAAGGGAGAATGATGATAATAAAGTTGTTTTTTTAGACTGACGTGTCGGTAGGCCACAGCCAGCCTAACTCAAGGTCATGAGAAAGCATTGACCCGCCAAAGCACTGGTCTAATACAACCTTGGACAGACTCGTAGCCAAGACTTTGGTTGGAATCTTCAGGCTCATCCTCAAAAGTGAGATAGGCCTATATGAGTCTGCCAGGTTTTTACCTGGTTTCGCTGAAACGACTATAATTGCTAGATAGATTGGGGGAGTCTGCTCAGTTCTTTGGCTTTCAAAATGATGGAGAGAAGTTCCGAGAGGAGCACCTCACAAAAAGTTTTATATATTTTGACAGGAAGCCTACCGCTTCTAGGGGCCTTTGCGTTGGGAAACGTCAAGACCGCTTGTTGTAGTTCTTCTAGGGTAATGAGTGCATTAAGAGCTTTTCTATCTGTGGCATTCAGGCAAGGGAAGGTGATACCATCCAGAAAGTCTAGAAAGTCTTGTTCCTCATATGTTACTTTGGAAGCATATAGAATCTCATAATATGTTCTAAAACCCTGAAAAACAGACGGAATGTCAGTAACACTGGTCTAATAAAACATCTTCATTCTCCTGTGGAGGACGTATGAGTGTCTATTATATCCTGATGTGTGTGTATATATATATATATATATATATATATATATATTCATTGTACCTCCAAGAATGGTTAGACTGCTTTCTTATAAATACCTTCTCATCCCCCAAACATGTCTGCCTTCTCTTGTTTAGGGAGGTGCACTTGGTCATCACTTGGTATAATGTTCTCTACCAGTTTTGTATAGGTGCTACGTTGTATTTTATATGTTTGGTTTTTTTTTAATGTGCAGTGCATCATGGGAATAACATTCTTAGTAATTATACATTATAAATCTTCTGACACTTGAACCATTTCTTTTACAGATGATTACAAAGCCTGTAAAATAAAGAAATAAAGCCAATTCTATAAAAAAAAAAAAAAAAAAAAAAAGCGGTGCAAGCTGGGTGCATTTTTTTTTTACCAGTGGTGTAAAAAAGAGTTGGGCAGCGGTGGCAGCTGCCTAGGGAGAAATACATGGGGCACCATATTACATTATGAATAATATCATTAAAGCAAATATATAGTATCTGGAATAACTTTGCAATGACAGCTACCTGAAGGTGTACATGATGGGCACCTGAAATTAGAAGAAAATTTAGGGAATAACAATCCTCTAAACATGTTTAAGTCCTGCACAAAACATTCATTTCCCAACCGAATCATCTTGTACAAAACATGGTGGCAAAAGGCACAAAGCCTTACTTAATGTGCAAACCGACTTTTCCCATTGGAATTAAGCTTGGAACCTACCGAAACCTACCTCTCGAGTCTCCTTATTGATTTTTTATAAGATGGGTGGCCAATAGGGTGGACCTCCATGCTGCCAAAAACAAGCCTACCTTGTCATACAGTCTATTCTCTACTTTTAACTCTCTACTTTTTCCACCTCCACCTCCACCCAGTACCTCACTCATTGCTCACAAGATTGCCAATCATTTCAAATACAAGATTGATGCAATTCTTAGGGGCATCTCCACTACATAGACATCCATCCCACTTGGCATACCTTATACTAAACCTCCCTCAACACTTTCCTTTCTTGACCTTGCTACTACTGAAGAAGTCACTAAGGTTTTCTTAGAAGCCCGTCTCACCACGTTCCCCCTGAATCCTGTCCCCTCTCAACTACTACGGTCACCATCTTCTTCCATCCTATGCTCCCTCACTCACATCTTCAATCTCTCCCTCTCTAATGGTGTCTTCTCCTCCCCTCTAAAGCATGCACAGATCACTCCCATACTTAAAAAGCCCTCCCAATGGCCACTACTCCGTACTCATCCCAACCAATGGCCACTACTCCGTACTCATCCCAACCAATGGCAACTACTCCGTACTGATCCCAACCAATGACCACTACTCCGTACTCATCCCAACCAATGACCACTACTCCGTACTCATCCCAACCAATGGCCACTACTCCGTACTCATCCCAACCAATGGCCACTACTCCGTACTCTTACTACTTGACCTCTCTGCGGCTTTTTAGTATTTGCCTATTTATCATAACAAAAATACATATAAATAAATAGTGCCCCATCATTGGTATCAGTGAGGGGAATAGTGCCCCATCATTGGTGTCAGTGGGAGGAATAGTGCCCCATCATTGGTGTCAGTGGGAGGAATAGTGCCCCATCATTGGTGCCAATGGGAGGAAAAGTGCCCCATCATTGGTATCAGTGGGAGGAATAGTGCCCCATCATTGGTATCAGTGGGAGGAATAGTGCCCCATCATTGGTATCAGTGGGGGGAATAGTGCCCCATCATTGGTGTCAGTGGGGGGAATAGTGTCCCATCATTGGTATCAGTGGGAGGAATAGTGCCCCATCATTGGTATCAGTGGGAGGAATAGTGCCCCATCATTGGTGTCAGTGGGAGGAATAGTGCCCCATCATTGGTATCAGTGGGGGGAATAGTGCCCCATCATTGGTGTCAGTGGGAGGAATAGTGCTCCATCTTTGGTGTCAGTGGGAGGAATAGTGCCCTAATAGATCAATCCCTGTAATCACCAGCTCCATCTAGTGGACAAAATGAAGTACAGTTTTCTGAAATACCTCAATGAGAAAATATAACCGAATTTGGCCACTAGATGTCGCTAACAATACTAGGGATTGCTCTATTAGAGAAATTACAGCCAAAAATTTGTGCTGCATGTTTGACATTCATCCAACAAATGTTTTATAAACAGGCCGCTAGCATATTTGACAATATTTTAATACATATTTTATCCTATTGTAGAGTTACAGTTTTGTATGCACTGGGTATGCTAACACATGGTGATGGTGGGGAAAAACAAAACAGGTGAATATTGCGATGCATTCGGGCCAAATCTGTAAAAATGTCGAATTTACAATATATGAGACTGCTGCCCCACTCTGCTTGGCTAGCAAGAACAAGGAAAATCAAGTCCCATGATGCTCTGTTGGCCCAACACGTACAGTAGTTTTAGTTACCCCAACCCCCCCTCCCTCCTTGGGGTAGCTAGAGCTGTTTTATTGGTGATATGAGGATGACAGTCTCAGCAACAACACACTGCCGAGCATCACTTCCCTGAAAGGAAAAAAGCATTTACTGGCACACATATGGCCCATTAGACATGTGCAGTTTGTTTGATACAGACACATTTTTCGTTATTCGGAAATTTGAATGTACACGAATTTCCAAATGACGATAGTCACAAAATAACGAGACAAAATACGAATTCGAATTGAACTGAATTCAAAATCGAAAACAAAGAAAATAGAATAAAACATAAAAAAAAAAATAGAATAGATTAGAGTAGAATAGAAAAGAAAAAAATAGAATGGAAAAAACAATAGAATAAAATAGAAAGAAAATAACTTTCAATTTTCAAATAGAATACATTTGTATTTGCATAGAATAGATTAGAATAGAAATAAAAAAAAACAATAGAATTCAATAGAATAATTTCAAATAGATTGGAATAAGATAGGAAAGAAAAGAAAATAAGACAATAGAATAGAAGAAAATAGAGAAGAAAATAAGACAACAGACCAGAAAAACTATGGAATAGAATATAAGTTTCAATTTTTGAATAGAATAAATTTGAATTTGCATAGAATAGATTAGAATAGAATAGAAAAAACAATAGAATAATTTCGAATAGATTTGAATAAAACAGAAAAGAATAGAAAATAAGACAATAGAATAGAATAAAATAGAAAAGAATAGAATAGAAAATAAGACAATAGAATAGAAAAAAAAACTATAGAATAGAAAATAACTTTCAATTTTCGAATAGAATAAATTTGAATTTGCATAGAATAGATTAGAATAGAATAGAAAAAACAATAGAATAATTTCAAATAGATTGGAATAAAACAGAAAAGAATAGAAAATAAGACAATAGAATAGAATAAAATAGAAAAGAACAGAATAGAAAATAAGACAATAGAATAGAAAAAAACTATAGAATAGAATATAACTTTAAATTTTCTAATAGAATAAATTTGAATTTGCATAGAATAGATTAGAATAAAAAAAAAACAATAGAATTCAATAGAATTATTTTGAATAGATTGGAATAAAATAGGAAAGAATAGAAAATAAGACAATAGATTACAATAGAAAAGAATAGAATAGAAAATAAGACAATGCAGAACAGAAAAAACTATAGAATAGAAATATAACTGTCTTCCAAAATTTGAATTTTGTATAGAATAAATTTGAATTTGCATAGAATCGATTAGAATAAAATAGAAAAGAATAGAAAATAAGAGAATAGAACGGAATAGAAAAGAATAGAATAGAAAAAACAAAAGACTGGAATACAATAGGAAGAATATAACCGTCTTATGCAATTCAAGTTTGGAAAAGAAAAAAATAGAAAAAAAAAAAATAATAGAATACAATAGAAAGCATATAACCCTCTTCTGAAATTCGAATTTCGAATAGAATAAAATTGAAAAGAATAGAAAATAGGAGAATAGAACGGAATAGAAAAAAAAAAATAGAATAAAATAGAATATTACTGTCTTCTGAAATTCGAATTTTGCAGAGAATAAATTTGAACTTGCATAGAATAGATTAGAATAGAATAAAAATAAAAAAAGGAAGAATATAACCATCTTCCAAAATTCAAATTTCGAATAGAAAAAAATTAAATAGAAAATAAGAGAACAGAACAGAAAAGAATAGAATAGAAAAAAAAAAAAACTGTAATACAATAGGAAGAATATAACCGTCTTATGCAATTCAAATTTCGAATAGAATAAAATAGAAAAGAACAGAAAATAAGAGAATAGAAAATAAGAGAATAGAAAAGAATAGAAAAAAAACAGAAAGAATATAACTATTTTCTGTAATTCAAATTTCGAATAGAATAAAATAGAAAAGAATAAAAAATAGGAGAATAGAAAAGAATAGAATAAAAAAAAAAACGATACAATAGAATACAATAGAAAGAATATAACCGTCTTCTGCACTTCGAATAGAATAAAATAGAAAAGAACAGAAAATAGGAGAATAGAACAGAAGTGAATAGAAAACAATAAAAAGAATATAACCGTCTTCTGAAATTCGAATTTTGTAAAGAATAAAATAGAAGAGAATAGAAAATAAGAGAATAGAGCAGAATAAAAAATAATAGAATATGAAAAAAAATAGAATAGAATACAATGGAAAGAATATAACCGTCTTCTGAAATTCAAATTTTGAATAGAAAATAAGAGAATAGAACACGAAATATAATTTAATTTATAAATATAATAATAATATATAATAGTTTATATTTCATTCACTAGTGAGGATACCAAGGGTGGTCCTTTAGTGCCAGCAGCTTATACCTTTCTACACACCCATAGCGCTCACTGACACACCATATACAAGAGAATAGAACAGAATAGAAAATAATAGAATAGAAAAAAAAAATAGAATAGAATACAATGGAAAGAATATAACCGTCTTCTGAAATGTGAATAGAATAAAATAGAAAAGAATAGACAATAAGAGAATAGAATAGAAAAGAATACAATAAAAAGAATACAACCGTCTTCTGAAATTCAAATTTTGAACAGAATAAATCCAAATTCGAAATCTGATTTGAATTTTTTTTTTTATTGAATTCAAATCGAATTGAATAATGAATAAACGGAAATGGATAACAAGAAAACGTTAGAAATTCGATGATCTCTGACTTGTTTCTCAGGAACGTTCGATCTTCCTGGGCCGGCATCCTCCATGACGACGTAACTCCGGAAATCACATAGAAAGCGCCATTTAATCGGGTTACGGGTTAATTTTAGGAAAAAGTAAATATATATATGTAACCCCCCCCGCACTGCAGCTCTCAGACTAACCGGGGGGAGGGGCAACACAAGGAGCCAATCACAGGTCTGTCGCCGTGCTTTCAGAAGCAGAAGGGGAAAGTAAGAAAGTCATCAGCGTTCCGCCTTTCCTTCCTTATCCAATCACAGGCTGGGGGGCGGGTCCGTGACCAAGCTGCATTGCTTAACTTCAGAAAAGAAAAGTGAGGTCGCCGACTCGGCTGTGTTGGCTGACCTCAATCTCAATCCTTCCTCTCTCACACGCTTCAGTTGGTAAGCGGACGCCATTTTGTCGAAGTCCGGACGTCCTCATGCAGATATCCCAAAGGCGATGGTGCGGCAGGCGCTCCCTAAACCGCGCGGCGTAACAATATACACCGTAAAGTCGTTCTTTCTGGCTGGGGTAGCCGAAGCTCCTCACTCCCGGGTCGGGGAGACCCCCACACCTCTCCCGGGGGTCAGCGATGGGAAAGCGGACGCTACCGTCCAGCAACCAGCCTCCGTCGCAGCGGTCCAAGCCGGAAAACCTCCACGCGGCGTATAAGTGGCCGACCTTGGCGACCTGAGCCTTGCGGGCCAAGCAGGCGTCCAGGGCTTCTGTGAAGTTCATCGGGCCGTGGACGAAGAAAACTCGACCTGAAAAAGAAGATAAAGCATCCTAAACTGTATATAAAAGAGGGGGGGCGGTAATACGAGTAATAAAAACCTCTAGGTACTACAAGGGTCATGTGAGATGGGATACATTGCCATCTTGTGGTCATTTTAAAGTATGCAGCCACCTGCAGGGCCTATGAAATACACTGCTCAAAAAAATGAAAGGAAGACTTTGAAAACCCATCAGATCTCAATGGGGAGAATCTCCTGCTGGATCTCTATACTGACATGGACGGGGTGATGGGTGAGGAACGTAAGGACGCCCCATCGTTTGATGGAAATGAAAATGATCGACCTGCAGAGGACTGAATTTAAAGACACCCCGAAAATCAAAGAGATAAAATGATGCAGCAGGCGAGTCCATGTTGGTGAAAGGTCATTGCAGCAACTCAGAATGGTCCTCAGTAGTTTGTGTGGCCCCCATGTGCTTGTATGCATGCCTGACAACGTCGGGGGAGGGTCCTAATGAGACCACGGATGGTGTCCTGGGGGATTTCCTCCCAGATCTGGACCAGGACATCACTGAGCTCCTGGACAGTCTGAGGTGCAACCTGGCGGCGTTGGATGGACCGAAACATGACATCCCAGAGGTGTTCTATTGGATTTAGGTCAGGAGAGTGTGGGGGCCATTCAATGGTATCAATTCCTTCATCCTCCAGGAACTGCCTGCATACTCTCCCCACATGAGGCCGGGCATTGTCGTGCACCAGGAGGAACCCAGGACCCACTGCACCAGGAGGAACCCTGGACCAACTGCACCAGGAGGAACCCGGGACCCACTGCACCAGGAGGAACCCTGGACCCACTGCACCAGGAGGAACCCGGGACACACTGCACCAGGAGGAACCCGGGACACACTGCACCAGGAGGAACCCGGGACCCACTGCACCAGAAGGAACCCAGGACCCACTGCACCAGGAGGAAACCAGGACCCACTGCACCAGAAGGAACCCAGGACCCACTACACCAGGAGGAACCCAGGACACACTGCACCAGGAGGAACCCAGGACCCACTGCACCAGGAGGAACCCAGGACCCACTGCACCAGCAGGACCCAGGACCCACTGCACCAGCAGGCACCCGGGACCCACTGCACCAGGAGGAACGCGGGACCCACTGCACCAGGAGGAACTCGGGACCCACTGCACCAGGAGGAACCCGGGACACACTGCACCAGGAGGAACCCGGGACCCACTGCACCAGGAGGAACCCGGGACCCACTGCACCAGGAGGAACCCGGGACCCACTGCACCAGGAGGAACCCGGGACCCACTGCACCAGGAGGAACCCGGGACCCACTGCACCAGAAGGAACCCAGGACCCACTGCACCAGAAGGAACCCAGGACCCACTGCACCAGGAGGAACCCAGGACCCACTACACCAGGAGGAACCCAGGACCCACTACACCAGGAGGAACCCAGGACCCACTGCACCAGGAGGAACCCAGGACCCACTGCACCAGGAGGAACCCAGGACCCACTGCACCAGGAGGAACCCAGGACCCACCGCACCAGGAGGAACCCAGGACACACTGCACAGAAGGAACCCAGGACCCACTGCACCAGGAGGAACTCAGGACCAACTGCACCAGGAGGAACCCAGGACCCACCGCACCAGGAGGAACCCAGGACCCCCTGCACCAGAAGGAACCCAGGACCCACCGCACCAGGAGGAACCCAGGACCCACCGCACCAGGAGGAACCCAGGACCCACTGCACCAGGAGGAACCCAGGACCCACTGCACCAGAAGGAACCAAGGACCCACTGCACCAGGAGGAACCCAGGATCCACTGCACCAGAAGGAACCCAGGACCCACTGCACCAGGAGGAACCCAGGACCCACTGCACCAGGAGGAATCCAGGACCCACTGCACCAGGAGGAATCCAGGACCCACTGCACCAGGAGGAACCCAGGTTCCACTGCACCAGCTTAGGGTCTGACAATGGGTCCAAGGATCTCATCCTGATACCTAATGGCAGTCAGGGTGCCATTGTCTACCCTGTAGAGGTCTGTGCGTCCCTCCATGGATATGCCTCCCCAGACCATCACTGACCCACCACCAAAACGGTCATACTGAACCATGTTACAGGCAGCAGAACGTTCTCCACGGCTTCTCCAGACCATTTCACGTCTGTCACATGTGCTCAGGGTGAACCTGCTCTCATCTGTGAAAAGCACAGGGCTCTAGTGGTGGACCTGCCAATTCTGGGGTTTAATGGCAAATGCCAATCCAGCTCTATGGTGCTGGGCCGCGAGCACAGGGCCCACTAGAGAACATCGGGCCCTCAGGCCACCCTCATGAAGTCTGTTTCTGATTGGTCAGAGACATTCACACCAGTGGCCTGCTGGAGGTCATTTTGTAGGGCTCTGGCAGGGCTCATCCTGTCCCTCCTTGCACAAGGGAGCAGATACCGGTCCTGCTGATGGGTTAAGGACCTTCTACGGCCCTGTCCAGCCCTCCTAGAGGAACTGCCTGTCTCCTGTAAAAGCAATCATTTCTCCTTCTCTCTGGCTGCATTCTTGCAGCCATTGAGAAAATACTGTGTAAGCTGTGATTGGTCACAGCTTGTCACATGGTACAAGGCTGTTGTGAATAGCCCTGTACCATGTGATCTCTGTGATCATTCACAGATTTCACACGTAGTAAGCAATGATGTCAGAAGTGACATCTTGCTTACTACTATTCATGTGATCACTGATTGGCCAATCAGTGATCACATGATCGGGACCTCACATAGAGGTCCCGTACAGCGATTGGTGTTCCGGATAGTGGTGCCGCGCACTCGCAGGGAGCACTCACAACCTCAAAATGCGGGTGCCGTTTATGAACGGCAACCCAATCCCGCACTGCTCCCATCTGGCCGTTTATGTACATGGGCCGGACGGGAAGTGGTTAAAAATCCATTTGTAGGATGCTATGAAAGGTCTAAGTGGGGATGACTTTTTTGGAATTTTTGGTCCTAAAGGGTATTTTTTTTGTGGCAAGGGACTGTACGCTCCTTTAGGGTTGGCTTCGATTGTTATGGTGGAAATGATCACAAGCAACCGTTGCTTTAATAACATTTATAATCATAGTACCGTTCAGAGCTGATGTGAAGCAGAAGGCATCGAATTTGTCCTTCAGCTGATCTTTGGGGCCGTAGCTTCGTATTCCGGGAGGAAGGTCCCCACCACACGGTTGCCGGGGGACAATAACTGGGTAATGAACCCCGCCCTCGAGGAGCCATCCGGCATTGCACCAGTCAAGGCCATCTGTCCATGCTGGCAACGAGGAGGGAGATGGAATCAATTATTTCCTGCCCAGGTTGGACTATTACATCTCTGTAAATGATATGTGGACAATATAGACTCACCTTGGTAAAGTTGGGTGTAAGTCGCCAGTCTTCCATCTTGTTCCTCGCAAGCTTGTCGCGCTTCAACGTAATTAAAACGATAGCGCCCTTCTCTGGACTGGTATGGAAATACTACTCCTAGAACATTGGAAAGAAAGTTCTAGCAACAAAAAGAACATTTGACATTACGGACCCCTATCTAGCCACTTACAGACCATCAAACTGACCCTGCCGGACACCTCCTACTTGCCTAGCGGGTGGGAAGTGGTCTGACAACAAGTTTATGACAGCTGGTAATAAACTCTGTAAACTAGGAAATACCTGATCCAGGGGCGGACTGACCATTCGAGCACTCGGGCACTGCCCGAGGGCCTGGGGTCAGTAGGGGGCCCCATGACATGCCCCTTGTACCTTTTGTAGGTATTTTTGGGTGTGCTTTGAGTGTGGGCAAGGACACATGGGCCCCATGATCCCCTATTGCCCGGCGGCCCCTTGAGTTGTCATACCGCCCCTGACCTGATCTGTGGTAAATGATGAAGCTATAAAAGGTGACCTGTACGTTATTATACAATATGGTGGCAGGTCCAAGATGACACTCTACATAACCCTGGATTGCCCTTGGATTTGGTTGACCTTCAGCAGTCATTTCGTTACAGGGCAGTCCAAGCTCTTCCTTGATATGGTTCTTTAGATACCTTACCAATCCAGTTTTGGTTTTCACTCCATCATTATGACCTTTTTGGACTATATTTTGTGGTGGAGTCCAAATAAAGGTGACAACCTGGGGATGCAGCACACCCATAAGGCCCTACACTGTGCCATTGTATTTTGTGTACATCAGTGTACCTTTCTCCGCATTGGAAAGAGTTTAGGACCTTTTTACAAGTTCGCGCTGATGCTGGAATGTGGAACTTAAAAGATTTGCCCATCAAGAGACATCAAAGGTGCTTGTCCACCTGGAATTGAACATGGTGTAGTTTCTGAAGCCTTCAAAAGTTTCAGGTTATTACCAAGCTAATCAACATGCTCTGGGCCAAATAGGGTCATGTAAACTGGTTTGATCTTCTATATCCAACCATGTTTGATATCTCCATGTGACTAGCCATTACACCATGACATAGACTCTGTCCCACACCATTAGAAACTTGCAGTAATAGTGGATTACATTACCTTCTAGCTGTAGGGACAATGTTAGGCTCTGGTCCTCCAGGCCATTCACCAGCTCACACTTGTACCGGCCCTCATCCTCCAGTGTTACATTGGTGATGACCAGAGAGGCATCAAGTCGGTGGCTTCTCCTCATTCTGGCTCGTCCCCTCAGCTTGTCGTAATTCTTGTGGTACTTGCCGTTGGTGATGACAATGAGGTTCTCCATGGGGTCTAAAGGGTTGATCTTGCTCCATTTCACCTTGTAGCTCCTGGGCCGAAGTCTCAGGATACAAGGTAGAGTGACGTTGGAACCTCTGGTGCTTTGAATCACATTGAGAATGGGATCCAGGAGGTAATGAGATCCAGGGTTGTGATCTGCAAGGGGTAACAAGTTTGATTACATCTTAGTATGAAATTCTAGATCAGTGGTCTCTAAATTTTCTATACAAAGGGCTAGTTTACTGTCCTTCAGACTTATGAGGGCTGGACTATGGCCATTGGGAGTAGAAATTCATTGGGAATAAACAATGCCCCATCGTGATGTTGGTAGGTGGAATAGCGTCTCATCATTGATGTCAGCGGGAGGAAGAGCCCCATCATTGGTATCATTGGGAGGAATAGTGCCCCATCATTGGTATCAGTGGGAGGAATAGTGCCCCATCATTGGTATCACTGGGAGGAATTGTGCCCATCACTGGTATCATTGGGAGGAATAGTGCCCCATCATTGGTATCAGGGAGGAATAGTGCCCCATCATTGGTGTCAGTGGGAGGAATAGTGCCCCATCATTGGTGTCAGTGGGAGGAATAGTGCCCCATCATTGGTATCAGTGGGAGGAATTGTGCCCATCATTGGTATCAGTAGGAGGAATAGTGCCCCATCATTGGTATCATTGGGAGGAATAGTGCCCCATCATTGGTGTCAGTGGGAGGAATAGTGCCCCATCATTGGTGTCAGTGGGAGAAATAGTGCCCCATCATTGGTATCAGTGTGGGAGGAATTGTGCCCATCATTGGTATCAGTGGGAGGAATAGTGCCCATCACTGGTATCAGTGGGGAGGAATAGTGCCCCATCATTGGTGTCAGTGGGAGGAATAGTGCCCCATCATTGGTATCAGTGGAGGAATTGTGCCCATCATTGGTATCAGTGGGAGGAATAGTGCCCCATCATTGGTATCATTGGGAGGAATAGTGCCCCATCATTGGTGTCAGTGGGAGGAATAGTGCCCCATCATTGGTATCAGTGGGAGGAATAGTGCCCCATCATTGGTATCAGTGGGAGGAATAGTGCCCCATCATTGGTGTCAGTGGGAGGAATAGTGCCCCATCATTGGTATCATTGGGAGGAATAGTGCCCCATCATTGGTGTCAGTGGGGAGGAATAGTGCCCCATCATTGGTATCAGTGGGAGGAATTGTGCCCATCATTGGTATCAGTGGGAGGAATTGTGCCCATCACTGGTATCATTCGTAGGAATAGTGCCCCATCATTGATGTCAGCGGGAGGAATGGTGCCCCATCATTGGTATCATTGGGAGGAACTGTGCCCCATCGTTTGTGTCAATGGGAGGAATTTTGCCCTGTTATTGGTGTCATTGTGCTGCATTGTTGGTGTCATTGGGCACCATCCTTGGTGTCATTGGGAGGAATTCTGCCCATTCATTGGTGTCAGTGTGGGGGAATTATGCCTCATTGTTGGTATTAGTGGATGAGAATAGTGTCTCAAGGCCAGGACAAAAGCAAGCATAGGGCCGCATCTGGCCGCCAGGCCAGAGTTTGGAGACCACTGCTCTAGGGTATGGCTCTTGTGTAGTTTCCCCAGTTGTCCTCATTGCATATAGCAAACCTTGGTTTCTAGAGCTCCATGGTGGACATGGTAACCATGGCCCTGCCAGTAGAGGGGCATCTTGGGAAGGCATAGGTCATATATAGGAAGGTGGAAAGTTTCTTGGTTTGGTTGCCCATGGAGTGGGGTAGTGTAACCACATTCTCTGTCCGGGATCTGTTCTAAAATCCCCCAGCAAGGGATCCAGTCAGTCTCAATTGTAAAAGTCTGATGGTTTCCCCTTAAAGGTGGTGCTGCCTTACTGTCTACATGAGGTTCTGTATCCTGACACCAGACAGAACTGTCCTGCTCTACTGAAGACCAACCCAGGAAATTGCCTGTCTTCCTATGTATAACCTATGCAAACCCAAGATGCCTATCTACTGGCAAGGACAGGGTTACCATGTCACCCATGTGACAGCCAAGGTTGAGTATTTGCATTGGGGACATCTTGTGGTCAACCAGGAGAACATCACAAGTGCCATACCCATTGCTTACCAAAGATGTCTAAATATCTGCTTAAATGCCCCAGAAGCCCTAAACCCCAGGGTGCCTGAGAAGAAGAGGGCCTGCAACTCCCAACTGCCCCTGTCACCAGTTTTTTTTTTCTTTATGTGTTCCAAGGAGAACACCATGGTGGTCTTGTTCTAATTAATTTACAGCAGCTCTAAAGTGAGATTGTGTTCCATGGAACCAGATGGGTGGAAATGTGGGTAGGAGATTTGTATCCAAACACACACAAACCTTTGACCCTCTATGAACGTCATTCTATATAGATTAAATCATGAATTTGGATAAGCATCCATTTTATTTCACTCTTATCACGGGACTGTGCCGGCAACCCATAACCCCCCCCCCCCCCCCCCAATGTGGCAGACCTTGATTCCGGTCGGCATCGCGATAGACCGCAGGATCCTCGATGGAGACAGAAGAGAACACAAAAGCAGAAGAGGGACGATTCCTTTCATCTTTGGATAGAGCACCTGTGATCTGCCTGGGAGACACAAGAGGGAATCTACACTCAGTCAGTCCACAAATTACCGACATGACATAAGATTGGACGCTGATTTTCCACAATGACCTCACACATGACATTTCCCTCACCCATAGACCTCAGCCTTCCAGATATCCTCCGAAGAGCCCTACTGATGGATTGTATTTGTGTAGTATGATTGTCCAATTTTATTTATCCATCTACACAGTATCTATCTATCTATCTATTATCTATCTATATCTATCTATCTATCTATCTATCTATTCTATCAACTATCTATCTATTACTATCTATCTATCTATCTATCTATTATTATCTATCTATCTATCTAATCTATCTATCTATATTATCTATTAATATCTATCTATTCATCTAATCTAAACTATCTATTATTATCTATCTATCTATCTATCTATATCTATCTATATCTATGACTATCCTATCTATCTATTATCTATCTATTCTATCTATTATCTCTATTAAAATTATTATCTATTATCTATCTATCTATCTATCCATCTATCTAACTTCTATCCTATTTCTACATAATATCTATCTATCTATCTATCTAATATC